ACCGGAACGTCTCAAGTCTCCTCAAGAACTGAAGAAAGCCGTCCTCGGCGACACGCTCTCAGCACACATCAAACGTCGGCAGGCCCTGCCCCGCGTACGTGAAGCCGGCATCCCACTGCGGCGCATCCTCGCCCACAATGGTGCCGGCCTGGCCGTTCTCGACACACAGCGCGTCCACTGTGTCGAGCTGGCTGCCGATAAACCCGCTTGTGGTGGTCAGGGTCTCGCAGAGCGAGCAGAAGAAGGCCTGGCACGTCTGGTAGGAGAAGACGAGACACGAGTTGGCGGCGATGATGAACTCGTCATCAGATGAGGACAGGACTTGGTCGACGACGACCTTGCAGTCGGCGGTGGCGGGGCTTGGGTTCTGTGAGAGGTTAGACCAAGTCGGGAGATGGGCTGTTGTGGCAGAGATGGGAAGTCCTTACCGGGTTTGTGCACTCGAAGAAGTCGCTGGCTTGGGGGGCTCCAACACGCCGTTGCACGCCCGGCACTCTCGCGAGTGTGGCCGTGGAGCGTTGTTCGGTGGGGGCACCGATCGATGTCCTGTACTTCAGGGTTCGCATCTCTACGCCAGAGACCTTGTCGGGCCGTGGAGCCCGCTTGGGGAGGTGCGTCCCGCGTTTCTCGGCCCCAGAGGACTCGAGTGCCGTGGCGATGCTCAAGAAGGAAGTGAGGACGATGATGAACTTCATGGTGAGTTGGTTCTTGAGCTATATGGGACGAAGAGTGATCTGTGCTGGGTGAGAGGCTGACTTTGAGTTTAGACCTGAGGGGCTGGAGAATCTGCTGTTGATCTAGCCCAGCAGAGGACAGTGGGCAGCCTTATATGCCTCCTCTTCCCATCTCCTTCCACACCTTCCCTCCTTGGCCGCCATCCCGATTCCCGGTTGGGCCACGGTCATAGATTGCCTCTGGCAAGGCCCTTTGACTTTGCCTCATCCTTCGGCGAGTGAGAGTGACGTCGAGATTGCTGTCTGGGCCCAGGGCTTCTAAAGCGATCAAGGAAATAAATGAAGGTCAGCTTGGACGTGCTCGTCCCACAGCCCTGGCATGCCATTATGTTGCCTTGCCATCCGATTCTCACCAATGACGAGCGGCTCGTGACGATGACGATGCTACTTAGCTCGGGCTGGGCCGTGTCCGTGCCTCGGAAGGATACCACCAAGATGCAGAGCGAAGGGAACAGTCATGCCGGGTTGCCCGGCCCAAGACTTTGGAGGGGGAGGCACAGGATGGGATGCAAGCAGGGGGCAGTCGGCACATCGAAAGCTGCTCCTCGAGCACTGTCAACCACAGCCTTCTAGGACAATCCAATCTAGTCTTTGGTGGATGGGAACTTTGAGGAAACATGTCCTCCGCAGACACTCGCCTGCCACCGGCCCCGAGGTTCGTCGTTCTTCGACCGCCGTTAGTCCCGGAATCCCATTCCACGACGAGTATCGGGATACCCAGAGCGGCAACTGCTATGACGAGACACGGCGACGCAGTCAAAGTTGGCCATGGCTATTTTTAACCACAGTCAAATTGAACATGGGCCGCAAGACAGACACAATGCAGTGGGCGTGCGTGGTTCCCGGTCCATCAGCAGAAGGATCAGCAGCAGTCGAGCATCTGTCCCGGGTTCGGTAAAAAGCGAACGCGGAGCCGACCCAGCTCTGAGGGTCGGAGCGGGCAGTTCATTCGGCAAGAGGGGATGGCTGATGTGGTGACTTGATACCACCTTGGGAGAGGGGAACGATTGTATCGACCCGGGAGCGTGATGGACTGCCCAAAGCACCTGGGGCTGACCACTTGGCGGCGGCGTCGGGGACGGCAGGAAATTGATTTGGAGCCCGGACCCTGGGTGGAAGGACTCCAAGGCTATCTCGCCCGTTCGCATGGATGACGGGGAGCCTGCGAGCGTGACACCAAATCCTGGGGTTGACGTTTCGAGGCACCGATTCGAGAAGGTAGGAACCGCGTTTGGCGAAGGGCTCAGAAAACGAGCACCCGGGGAACTTTTAAGATGTCCAATTAATGAAGGTGCTGCAGCTGATGCGACTGTCTCGCGGCACCCGTGTCAGCGACGTCGGAGTGGCTCGGAGATTTTGGTTTCCGACTCGAAATGCAACCTGGGAGTCTGGGACTGAGCAATTGATGCAGTGGTTCATCGAGTCCAAGTCCAGCTGCTGAACCAGGTTGCTGGATGCAGCACCTGGCTTATGTAATTACATGTATTGAGAGTTCGCGACCCCGCCGGAACCTGGCAGATCATTTCCCCGACTCCCTGAATTTTGCCTGCCAAGACCTGAAGCGGCAGGCTTGTTCCCACTCGCTATCGGCGCGATAAGCCTTGAGCGCTGGAAAAAAAATCCACGAAGCAGACGCAGCATTGACGAGAGAGTCGTACACAACCACCAAGATGGCTTCCGATCTCAGCAAAAAGAGGAAATTCAAGGATGGCAAGTCCTCCAAGGCCACCAAGACCGACCCGGTTGCCGCTGCACCGTCCAAGGCGAAAAAGCTGAAGAGGGCACCGACCCCGGAACAGAGCGACGCCGAGAGCGACGACGCCAGCGACCGCGAGATCGAAATCCAGGAGCCTGAGGCGGAGGACGCAAGCCCCGAGGAGGATGGCTCAGACGATGAGCAGACCGAGCAGGATGCGGACGATTCAGAGAAGCAGGATGGGCCAGCAGAACTGGACGGCATTGCCAACGGCGACGGCTCGCTGCTTGGCCCCTCGGTGTCGACCGACGCCCAGGCATTCTCCGAACTCAAGCTCTCCGACAAGACCATGAAGTCGATCGCCGAGATGGGCTTCACAAAAATGACCGAGATCCAACGGCGAGGCATTCCGCCGCTCCTTGCGGGCAAGGATGTGCTGGGGGCGGCCAAGACAGGGTCTGGAAAGACGCTGGCCTTCCTCATTCCGGCCATTGAGATGCTCAACTCTCTCCGCTTCAAGCCGAGGAACGGCACCGGCGTCATCGTCGTCACGCCCACACGCGAGCTGGCGCTGCAGATCTTTGGTGTTGCGCGCGAGCTAATGAAGAACCACTCCCAGACGTGTAAGTTGGGCCTTTGTATGGGCTGCGTCTGACAGTAACTGACTTGGCTTTTAGACGGAGTGGTCATTGGAGGTGCCAATCGCAGAGCGGAGGCGGATAAGCTCGGCAAGGGAGTCAACCTTCTCATCGCCACGCCCGGCCGGTTGCTCGATCGTAAGTCTCAGGTGCTCATTCTCGTCATGTCTCACACACACTGACATTTCCCGATAGACCTCCAGAACACCCCCTTCGTCTTCAAGAACCTCAAGTCCCTGATCATCGACGAGGCCGACCGGATATTGGAGATTGGTTTCGAGGACGAAATGCGCCAAATCATCAAGATCCTCCCCAAGGACGAGCGCCAGACCATGCTCTTCTCGGCCACACAGACGACAAAGGTCGAGGACCTTGCGAGAATCTCGCTCCGCCCCGGGCCACTCTACATCAATGTCGACGAGGAGAAGCAGTTCAGCACAGTCGAAGGGCTCGACCAGGGATACGTCGTCGTCGATGCCGACAAGCGCTTCCTCTTGCTCTTCTCGTTCCTTAAGAAGATGGCCAAGAAGAAGATCATTGTCTTCTTCTCGTCCTGCAACTCGGTCAAGTACTACAGCGAGCTCCTGCAGTACATTGATTTGCAGGTCCTCGACTTGCACGGGAAGCAGAAGCAGCAGAAGCGGACCAACACCTTCTTCGAGTTCTGCAACGCCAAGCAGGGCACGCTGATCTGCACCGATGTTGCTGCCCGTGGCCTCGACATCCCCCAGGTGGACTGGATTGTCCAGTTCGACCCGCCCGATGACCCGCGCGACTACATCCACCGTGTTGGCCGGACCGCCAGAGGCAACAACACCAAGGGGCGCTCGCTGCTGTTCCTGCAGCCGTGCGAACTCGGCTTCCTGGCCCACCTCAAGGCGGCCAAGGTGCCCGTCGTCGAGTACGACTTTCCCAAGAACAAGATCCTCAACGTGCAGTCTCAGCTGGAGAAGCTCATTGGGAGCAACTACTATCTCAACCAGAGCGCCAAGGATGGCTACCGGTCTTATCTCCACGCCTATGCCTCCCACAGCCTCCGGAGTGTCTTTGATGTCCACAAGCTTGACCTGGTAAAGGTCGCCAAAGTAAGATTTCCGTGTGCGCAGCGCTGCTGAGGGAATCTAGCTAACCACGTATACAGGGTTTTGGTTTCTCCACACCACCCAGAGTTGACATTACGCTCGCGGCAGGGATGAGCCGGGACAAGAAGCCGCAGGGCAGGAGAGCCTACGGCAGCCAGCCAAGGCAGGGCGGCCAGCAGCGCAGGTAACTCTTTGTGTAATGGACGTCTAGAAGTATGATGGGCAGCTGGTTTCGATTTCCCACGAGTCTTGTCATGGAGTTGTGGCGTCCAAAGAAGGGGGATTTACATACCCCAGGAGGGGCGGGTGTATTGCTGGGTCGACATCTCCGTCTGCTAGCTCCGCCTGGCCTACTATTTCTGAGATTCGAGTCTTTCCAAGCCCGACTTTTCATCCCCGTGAAGCTGTGCCTGGGAGAGTTGATCCATTGCTGCCACTGCTGCGCGTGAACTCGGCCCCTGCATGTGCCCGTCCAACATTTCCCGGGCTTTTGCGAGAATGGCGCCTGCATCCCTTCCCGCCTTTCCTTCCCTCAGACGAGCCTAGTTGTTTCCAGAAACAGACCCTGGACTTGGCGGAGCCAGGAACATCTGCCGTCCACCACCACGCGACGAAGGTTTCGAGTGTCTTGATCCAAGAACTCGGAGGAACTTAACAAGATTGCGAACCGGAAGCACGGCCAGTCCTTTTATCCACCGCTGACTCCGATCCCCACCCACGACAAGAGTTTCCTCCCCTGAGCCATCCACAACAGCTCCACCAACAGGAAAACTCTTCAACCTCTCCCATATCAAGCCACCCCGAGTCCCTGCTCTCCAACAATCCACAGCAGAAAATTAAAAATCTGGGCTCGGGTATGGTGTAGCGGCAACATCGTTGACTCTCATTGCTCCCCGAAAGGGGTTGGTGAATGCGCTCAACAGCCCGGGGTTCGACTCCCCGTATCCGAGACTTTTTGATCCCGAGGTCCCCGGGGAGAAGGGGTATTGGACCTGGCCATGGAGACCTATAAGACAGGTTGGGTGCTGTTCCTTGGTGAGAACCTCGGGTTTTTTCTGTTCCTGTTGATGTGGTATAGGCATGCTTGGTTCACGTATCCATCTTCTGCCCTCAATGTACAAAGCCGGGTGTCGTGTCTTCCGAAGCAATCCTGTTCTTCAACATGCCAGCTTTGCGGTCTGGCACCTGGGTTGTTAAGACCAGTGGAGAAAAAAGGGGGTTGGCCCTGAATGGCGACAGTTTGACACAAACCAGGAGTCGATGGGACGCGAATCCGGGGAACCAAATGCTATTCATGAACAAAAAGAAGGACGAGGCATTCAAGTGCCTTGGCAAGCTTGCAGACCGGAATCAATTTCGCAATCCGCGTTTGAGTTGCGGCTTTCCCAGGATCGAGTGTCCTCCCGGACTTAGACACCTGGACTTGGGTGACACGTTTCAAATCGGACAAGCTTAGTAGACACGACGAGGAGTGTGAAGAAGGGCGGGGTCCTCAACAACCTCGGGGCCGTTCTGTCAATATAGCAGCGGAAAAGTGGCGCACATGTTAGCTAACAGTGCAAGATCCTAAGGCGAGGGAGCCAGCATCGGGATAACATTAAGTTGAAGTTCAGGCATGAACGGGCTTATTTACAGTGGCTCACCAAGATCAATGCAACTGAGTTGTACCAGGCTTCGTCTTGTGATCTTTGTACCTTACTAGTTGAAGGGCGCCCACCAGGGCCACGGGTCCGTGGCAGGTATGTAAGCACAATTGATTACGTAAGCACAGAAAAATGCGTCAAACGCGGCCACTTCCTTGCGCCCCCTGAACCCCTGAATGCTACTACTACCACCACTATAGTATATCTGAATACCGCAAAGGGTATACCCTTGAGGTCCTTGTATAGCCAACTGCGTGGTACTTTGTATACTTGCTTGGGGCCCGGGCTTGGGGCTAGGCCTAGGCCTCAACCACTTCAAATTGACTGGGCTCCCGCTTGGTACTCGATCTTGGGAGTGAGCTTTGGGCCCGAATTAGCTCGATGAGCTAGCGAGGCTCAAGAAGTAGCTATAGGTTACCCTTATACTTTAAATACTAATATAAGTAAAAGTAGTTAAGAAGAAGAGGGCCCTAGAGAGACTTAAGTATATATAAGTATAGAAGTCTATATACTCGAGCGAAAGTCCCTATATAAGGAAGAGAGTCTATCTTTATAAGTAACTTCTATTGTTCTTTAACCTTCTTTATTACCTTATATAATACCTAGCTTTAAATAGCTTTATATAATACTTTTAAAAGCTTGAGAGGTATTTAAATTTATTACTTTATTTAGTATATTTATAACTTAGTAAGCTAGTTTTAAAGAGTAAGATTAATTGCTTTCTATAATAAACTTAGTTAGACTTAACTCTAAAAGGGTTTAGTAGAGGTATTAAGACTAGTTTAGTCTAATAGGTTTAGTAAAGCTAAAGGGTTTATAATAAGGTATTCCTTATAATATATATAGAATATAAAGGTTACTATAGATACTATAATATATTACTTACTAGAGAGCTCCTAGAGCCTTCTAGACCTATAACTATATATTATTATTATTATTATTTCCTACGCCGATATACCTATAGGCGCGCCGGTCCTTCTACTACTATATATAAAGGAAACTGTACTATATAAGCTAGATGAAAACCTCTACCCTCCTCTACATAGCTACTATATACGAATCTAACTTACTATAAAAGAAAGGAGGCCCTCAACTAGCCTCCGGACCCTCTAGCCCTCCCCTACCATTTCTAGCTCTAGCCGTCGGGCTAAGCTATACTCTAGTAGCCGGCCAGAGTCCATTAGCCAGCCAAGGACCCTCCGAACAAGCCTTCTGCTCCGGGCCCCTACGCCCCGTAATACAGTTTGTAGGTCCCTGTGTGACCGCATTTCCCGCTGCTCCCACGGCCTCTGTAGCG